GGGGGGGCTACATCCCTGCTCTGTCTCTTTAACCAGCAGGCTCACTGTCACTGGTCCCTCCCACTCCTGCAGCCCTCCAGTGCTGCTGGCCTGATGGGAGCGCACACAGCAGCACCATCATCACGGCCGAAGGAACGGGATAAAGCTGGAAAAGAACATACAAAAAAAAAAAGCAACAATACTACATTAGTGCCGTGTGGGGTTGGGGAAAAAAAATGGGATAACGAAACAATTCATCTACTTCTACCGGATCCCACCAGCTTTTTGATCGTGTGTTCTTGAGAAACTCAAATGTTGTCGTCGCCTGCGTTTTGCGCTTTTTATCCATTCTCCTTGAGCGCCGCTGGTACAAAGGCGCTCGGTCCGGAGCAGCAGCAGCTGGGGTTACTGCCGTATGAATGGGAAAGAGTGAACGGACCTGCTAAACCCGGAATGCTAGACACAGACAGTGAGTAAGCCTCGCAGGATTTAAACACTTTCTTATTTTTTCCCCCTCTCCCCGGGAGCCGGATCGGCAGTGGCAGACTGTCATTGTGTCGAGGCTGAGAAATGAAAGAAATTCTCCTCCTGAAAAGTGGCCTTTTCTGGAATAATGCATGAGAAAGACGAGCTCTATGACAGCTTTCTTTTCCTTTTCATGCCTCACGCATTCCCAGCTCTTCCTCTGGCCGAGCAACCGGCTCCTCTTGTTCAGAATGGGATGTATTGTTGCATCTGCGCAACCCACGGCAAGTGTCAGCAATTAGACTGTGTGTTTCTGAACGGGTTACCTAAAGGCCTGTTATAAACACTGCTTTCTAACTGTAGGGGGGGCATTGTTGTCGATAAGGATTCTGTGGCGAGCTGGACTTAAAAAAAAAAAAAAAAAAGGGGTGACTACCAGTGCGCCCTTGGCACCATTCAGCCAGTGTGTGTGTGTGTGTGAACCACAATCCGTCTCAGAGAGAAATTTGGCATAATATGGTGGAGCCGGTTGGTTTCATCGAAGCGTGGAAGGCGCAGTTCCCGGAGTCAGAGCCCCCCAAGATGGAGCTGCGTTCTGTTGGAGGCATCGAGCAGGAGCTGGAGAAGTGCAAAGCGTCCATCAGGCGCTTGGAGCAGGAGGTGAACAAGGAGCGCTTCCGTATGATCTACCTGCAGACCCTCCTGGCCAAGGAGAGGAAGAGCTATGACAAGCAGCGGTGGGGCTTTAGGAAGACTCCTCTGAACGAGGGGGTGGATGCTGCCACGCAGGGTGCCGAGTGCCAGTCGCAGCAGCCGCACATGCAGGAGACAGGTGGAGTTGGAGTAGTAGTAGGAGGTGTTGGTGGTGGAGGGTATGGTGGTTGCAGTGGGGGTGTTGGGGATAGGAGCCGTTATCAGCCTCTTGCAGATGGAACTGGCAGGTCTAAACCCAGGCCTCCACCAGCCAGGAAGTCAGCCTCCCACGGAGATGGCTTGGAGTCGGCTTTCGAGGTGCCCCAGCAGGCCGAGTCCACGTCCTGCGACAACCTAGATGGCCTCTCGCCGTCCAAACAGAGAGGCGGCATCTCCGTCTCTCCCCGCAGGCCCAACCTCCCGCCTCCAGACAAAGAGCTGCCCTCTGACCCCAAGGGGATGGGACTTGGAGTGGCGGCTCTTAGGTCCAACTTTGAGAGGATCAAACGAGCCAACTCTCACTCTGCGGGCGATGTAGCAAAGGGCCAGGAGAAGCAGCTGCCGCCGCCACCGCCGCCGTTCTACTCTAACATGGAATTCCACCACGAGAGGGGTCTGGTCAGGGTCAACGACCGTGAAGTTTCTGACAAGATCAGCACCTTGGGCAGCCAGGCCATGCAGATGGAGCGAAAAAGATCCCTTCACTCCCTCCCAGGTAACCTGGCAACGGTGGCAGGGGAGCTCCGCGCCAGGCCAGTGTATAGAGGTCGGTCCACTGAGAGCACCTGCGGCTATGATGCGGAGTATGAAGATGGGGAACCCAACCAGCGACATTCGGGGAGGGCCAATGGTGGCAAACCTCCACCCCCTCCATGGCAGCCCTCTGAGTTCCAGGCCTACTCCAGTGTCTATGTTGGTGGGGTGATGATGGGTGAAGGTGGCGGTGGAGATGGGAGAGGCAGTGGTGGAGGTGGCAGTGGCGTCACAATGAGGGACCTCGGGGGAGGGGATGACCACCTCCTGACCTGGCCGCGCCGCTCCTACTCCCCAGGGAGCTTTGAGGATGTCGGCGGAGGCGGCGGCTACACGCCGGACTGCAGCTCCAACGAGAACCTGACATCTAGCGAAGAGGACTTCTCCTCAGGTCAGTCCAGCCACGTCTCACCCAGCCCCACCACGGCCTTCCGCCGACCCTTTAGAGAGAAGAGCCGCTCGCCGTCCCAAAACTCCCAGAACTCCCAGCACTCCTTTGACAGCAGCAGCCCTCCGACGCCGCAGTCCCAGAAGCGTCACCACCGACAGCAGGGGGGCCACGTGGTTATGTCTGAGGCCACTATTGTGAGCGTTCGCAAGACCGGTCAAATCTGGCCACCTGCAGCCCATCATGACCTCGTGCCCCATGGTAGAACCTCCCACGACAACAGTTTCCATGGAGACCACCTAGGTGAGTGGTGGCTGCTGTCTAATGTTTGTTGTAGTGGAGAGTAGGTGGGCTGGATTGCAGAGGACATTTCAGAGCTCAAACTGAAAACTGAGTATGCCAGGGTGTGTGTGTGTGTGCGTGTGTGTGGAGGAAGGAAAAATGAATGAAAGCCTGAGTGAATGAGTGTACTAGTCATGCTGGAATTATATTGGCATCTTTTCTTTTGCATTGAAAGCCTCTTCTCCACATAATTTGTCTTTCCTCTTTAAAACCACAAAGCAGCCAACTGTTGAAGTGATTGATAGTATGTGTGTGATATTGCTTGTGTGAGTGTGTGTGCGCACGCAACCACGCAGGACGTGTCCTTTGGATGGCCTTGTGTGGGAGACAGATGAAAGATCCACCTCTGCTTATTCCTGGAATGTCAGTTGGGTGGGTGAACAATAAATGCGGTCAGTCTGGGTTGAAACTGCAGGTCTAGCCTTCCTCAGACGACTCCTGCGGCTCAGAGTATGGAATTCCAATCACAGGTGTCTGTCCTCCTGCCTGTCTCTCTTTCTGCCTGAAACGTGACCAGGGGAAGGAGACAATTCCCCGAAACTCTTCACCGGCTTTTAGCGCAGACCGGGACAAAAGAAATACACTCTATTCTCCACACAATTATCCGCAGTATCCCTAACCACTAAATTGCAGCCTTCCAGCCATGACACCTGTAATAGAACAGCAGCTAGATAGATGTGCAGCCTGGAGCTGAAGACATGGGCATTGGCTAACTTGGCTGCTAGTTTGGAGCACAACAACAGTGGAGTGTGTTGTTCAAAGAAGCACATTAGGAGGACTTAGTTTGCTCTAATCCCTCTATAAAGTTTCCATTGTAGAGGCTGTGCCAGCACACAGGAACTCAAACCAAACACCGCTCGGGCAGTTCAAATATTTGACGTAATTTTTAGACATTGGGTGTTGTTTACCAAGGCGCGGTTTGCTGTAGTTGTGCACATTTCGCCTGTTGTCTCTCTTCAGTTTTCTACTGCTGAAGTGAGTAGTGTTTTAGCGCCTACTGTATTGTAACAGACTTGGGACTGGCGCCCTGCCGGAGCAGACAGGCAGCGTGGTGCGGGCATCACACTCTCCGCTCCAGTGCCAGGAGGAACCGGAAGGAAGGGGGACGAGGTAGTCGGATAGATAGTGGAAGAGAGAATTGGAGTATTAGATGAGAACACTGAGAGATAAAGAGAGAGTGTGCAAACAACGCTGCTTTTTGTCCGTAGACTAGAGGTACCCGTACAGTGAAGTCAGAGCTAATTTAATGTTTTGCTGTTGTAATATGTGATTCAGAACTAAACACATAGTCATCATTCTGGGTAGCGTTACTGTCTGAAACCCCATCCAGCTCATTGCCTAAATATCCTAAACAGGGAACAGGTCTCTGTGCATCTATAACTCATTTATTCGAATAGAGCCACTGACACACTGGCCCTGGTGGAATCAACTAAAATGTTTTTCCAGACAGGATGCCATCCTGTCCGGAGGAACGAAAAAAACCATCTCAGACATATTTGCAGTGAAAGTGAAAGACATCTTCCCTTTTTAATTACCATTCCCTCCCCTGATAAGCAGTAATGGGCAGACACCATCCACAGTGAAGTACAATGCTAACATTCCGAGCGCACAGCAATTAAGATTGTGCATAGTTAGCAAACCCAGATAGTGAGTCCCCAGCAAATGGCTAGCTAATTCCCCAGCTGCTATGTTTAGGATTATCCCTGCACTGTCTGCTCTCTTTGTTTTAACATCTTTTCCACAACAGTGAGCCCTGTGGGGAGTTAGGCGAGCCGGAAGAGCAGGGACGGAGATGGTGGAAGGGGGGGGTGGGGGTTGGGGTTGGGTTGGTGGGGTCGCAGACGGCAATGCATTTAGTGGGATAATCTGGAATTTTGAGCACAAGTAGTAAAATGTTGGTTCAGACACCCTGCGGAGCGCTCTCGTTTTCTAGTTGGGGTTTAAGCCGAGGGCAGACGGGGCGGGATGTTGACGGTGGAGGTGGTGATAACAACGAATATTGCACGGTGTAGAGTTTAAGCCAACCAGAACCCCCGAGAGAGGATATTAAGGGAAGAAGAGTTTGAGAGTGTGTTTTAGGTGCGCGGCGGATGATCATAATGAGGAGTGGGACGGTGTTGTGAGGAAGACTGAGGGAGGCAGAGTGCAAGGCAGAGATGTCGTTTCTCGCTTCATTGGGCAGGGATGCGGGGGCTGCGGAGAGGCACAGATGGGAAGAACTCTCCCGTTGCGTAACAGAAACACACGGAGTCGGGCTCAAACACAAGGACACACACGCTTGATGTTTACGCTTATACCTTGAGGCTACTTTGCCTCCAGCGATAGGTGTGTACTTATGTGTAGCTGTGTTGTAACTTGGGATAATGGTCAGAAGGGCCGTGAACGAAAGGATGTTTCCTGCCTGTGGTTGAGCTCTGGAGGAGTCACACCATCTGCCAGAGCTCATCTGATCTATAGTAATATCTTCTCTTCTTCTCTTCTCTTCTCTTCTCTTCTCTTCTCTGCATGCCAACTACAGTAGTAATCGCTTCATGGTGTGTTCTGTTTATTTAATGTTTGGGGGGTTTTCAGGATGAAACGTGTACATGCTGAGCAGAGATGAGCAGGTCTTTGTGACTACGACAGATAAACAGAATGACAAAATGAGTGAAAGATTCAAATAAAGATATCTCCCCCGAGTGTTGTTCAGTGGGAAAGCGAAGACGCCTGGCAAGTGGGGGGAAAATAGCAAAACATGTTTGGAGGCACATCCTTCAGCTGCCAACTTTTCATTTTTGAACTGAACTGAACAAACATGAGCAATGTTATGTCAAGCGTTTGATCATTTGTGCCGAGTTAGACGACTGACAAGTCCCTTTCACATCACCGTGACTCAATTTTTCATCTCTTGCTGCGAGCAAACCGGCTAACGTGAAGGATGTTCTCATTAAATGTAGAACATTTAAATAAAGAATGATTTCAAAATGGGAAAAAGTTCGTAGTCAGGTCCATGGTGGGAGAAACTGAAATGTGTATGAAAATAAAACCAACAAAGCAATCTAAGTGTTTCTCACACACAGAACTGTAGTTATCAGATTTGTAGAAAGGTTAAATTAAGATCCTAACCAAACCCCACATGCCCACTGAAAGTTCCAGCGAGGTCAGTTCATTGAAGAAAGGAGGCTTTCACTACCTTCTGTAATGGAATGGGCGGTAACCAAAAAATGTTTTTCCATACGCTGTTACCATTGATTCACTCACTTGAAGGGAAATCTGCCACAGAACCAGGGAATACCTGTGGGTTTGTGTCAGTTAGGGCGGGGATACCAAACCAGGAGAGACCTGAGAAAGCATCAATGGTTGTATTGTCCACAACCTCCACCTCCCTCAGCTGGGTCCTGTCAGCGGCAATATTTTTAGGCAGGTACAACCATATGCTCTCTCTCTCTCTTCACCCTCTCAGGTCTGAAGGTTATCACCTCATTTTATAGATGAAATATGTTTTTGCATCCAAATGTCATAATAATGCACATGTGGGTTGAGCCAGAATAGTTTTGCTGATTGATTTAGAGTCCCAGGAAGCCTGCTGTTGGTAATGTGCAGGTTAAAAAGACATCTAGGGGTAGTGGTTAAAAAATGAAAATTGTATACTTGTTCTGTGGATTATCTATTTGCCTCCAATGGAAAGAGATTCTGTGAACACCAAAAGTGAAAATCCAATCAACTACAAATGTACAAAACATAGACAAAAAAGCCCAAACTATCTAGATGTATAAATACCACTAGAACGAACTGACCCATGGAATAGCTGGGGAGGAGAGAGGGGGAAAAAGTTCATCTCTGAGGCCCGTTTCAGTTTGTATTATACTTGAATCGTAGAGCAAAATGAGTGAGGCAAAACTTACTTGTTACCTTGCCAATAGCATGACCCGTTAAGGAAGTGCACCAGGCTTTTCAACTTAGCGGAGGGCTAGACCAGAAGTTAGCCAGCTCGACCTGCAGAAGTTTTTGGTGTGCATGCGTTCATCCACTTAATATCTTTACAGTGGGAAGGGGCTTTTTTTGGCTTCATG